AGGGGATAGCTTTCATGGAGTTAAGGGAAGGCCTTCCAAGCAATATCTTGTATGTCGATGGTGCATCAACCACTAGGAATCTCATAGTTGTACCAACTTGGCAAAAAGGGTCTCCTAGGATGAGCACGAGTTGAATCGATCCGAGGGGCAACACCCTTCCCCTGAGAACCCCAACAAGTGAGCACTTACTGGCTCAAGCTTCTCTCTTCCTATGTCCATTTTTTTGAATGATGAAGCAAAAATGATGTCAGCCGAGATGCCATTGTCTATCAAAACCCGATGAACAGTTCGGTTAGCGACAACAGCCCTTACCACCAAGGGATCGTTGTGAAGATGCTGGTAACCCTCCNGAACCCCAACAAGTGAGCACTTACTGGCTCAAGCTTCTCTCTTCCTATGTCCATTTTGTTGAATGATGAAGCAAAAATGATGTCAGCCGAGATGCCATTGTCTATCAGAACCCGATGAACAGTTCGGTTAGCGACAACAGCCCTTACCACCAAGGGATCGTTGTGAAGATGCTGGTAACCCTCCAGATCTGAATCTGAGAAAGTAATAGGTGTGTCCACATGTGGAGTCTTGGACACCGTATGTATTTCCAACGTTTCATCAGCTCTGATTCTTTGTAAGTGAGCTTTCCTTGCTGAGTTGGATTTCCCTCCTCCCGTAAATCCTCCTGATATTGCTCTAATTTCCCCCAAGAGTTGTTGATGTTGTACTGGGGCATGGCATGTTGCTGTGGTGCTGGGGGTGGTGGAGCTCTGTTCTAATTATCATGGGCAATAAAACGACACAACTGCCCTCTTTGGATCAAGAACTCAATCTCCTTTTTCAGCTGAATGCAGTCATCGATATGANTGATGTTGTACTGGGGCATGGCATGTTGCTGTGGTGCTGGGGGTGGTGGAGCTCTGTTCTAATTATCATGGGCAATAAAACGACACAACTGTCCCCTTTGGATCAAGAACTCAATCTCCTTTTTCAGCTGAATGCAGTCATCGATATGGGGACTGTGATCTCTGTGTACTCGTAGTACTTCGTAAGACCTCTCTTCGCTAGATCTGCCTTCATTCGAGGAGGCCACCTTAAGAACTTTTCATTCTGCACCTCATATAGGATTTGGAACACTGTGGCAGTGAGTGGAGTATACTGCTGGGGCGCATACCTCGGCTGCAACTCAANTTCATTCTGCACCTCATATAGGATTTGGAACACTGTGGCAGTGAGTGGAGTATACTGATGGGCGCGCATACCTCGGCTGCAACTCAGNAGAACTTTTCATTCTGCACCTCATATAGGATTTGGAACACTGTGGCAGTGAGTGGAGTATACTGCTGGGGCGCATACCTCGGCTGCAACTCAAGCTGTGGGGGACCTAGACGATCCCTGACATTTTTCCTTCTTTTTAGGGAGCGTTCTCTATCTCTCTTGAGAGATCTGTCTCTTCTTGGAGACCTGTTTCTTTCTCTTTCTTTCCTGGGACTTTGATCCCTTTTCTTTTCCTCCTTCTCTTTTCCTTTTTGGGAAGACAAGCTCCCTACCTTTAAGAGGAGAGCTTCCTCGCTGTTTATAGNCTCTTGAGAGATCTGTCTCTTCTTGGAGACCTGTTTCTTTCTCTTTCTTTCCTGGGACTTTGATCCCTTTTCTTTTCCTCCTTCTCTTTTCCTTTTTGGGAAGACAAACTCCCTACTTTAAGAGGAGAGCTTCCTCGCTGTTTATATACTTCTCTGCTTTAGCCAACACCTCAGTCATGCTTGCTTGAGGATTTTTAGATATGGAGAACATCAAGTCCTTTGACTGTACTCCCAATCTTGCTATGAAAGCAGTAATTACAAATTTTTCATCTGGGACGTCTACCTTTAGGAATTCTGAATTAAATCTTTGAACATTGGACCTTGGGTTTTCTTAAGGTCCCTGCTTCACATTCAGCAAGTGGTAGCTCGAATTCTTGTATGTCCGAGCTCCAATGAAATGAGACACAAAGAATATCGAGAGCTCTTTAAACAAGGAGATTGAGGTTAGGGAGGAGCCGGTTAAACCATACTAAGGCTGATCTTTTTAGGGTTATGACGAAGGCTTGACAACAAATAGGATCTTGATATCCATGCAACTCCATTTGATTTTTATAAANCATTGGACCTTGGGTTTTCTTAAGGTCCCTGCTTCACATTCAGCAAGTGGTAGCTCGGATTCTTGTATGTCCGAGCTCCAATGAAATGAGACACAAAGAATATCGAAAGCTCTTTAAACAAGGAGATTGAGGTTAGGGAGGAGCCGGTTAAACCATACCAAGGCTGATCTTTTTAGGGTTATGACGAAGGCTTGACAACGAATAGGATCTTGATATCCATGCAACTCCATTTGATTTTTATAAGTATTTAGGTGGTCAATAGGATCTCTGGTTCCATCAAAAGCTTCTACCTGCGGCATTCTGAATTTCGGTGAGAGGAAAAAATGCAACACCCCAGGAGTGAACGGGGACTCGATTTGTTGCACCAAAGCGTCCATGGTTACTGGAGTTTTATCCCTCATAGCCTCCTTCATATAGCTGAGCTCTTGTTGAATGTCTCNTTGTTGCACCAAAGCGTCCATGGTTACTGGAGTTTTATCCCTCATAGCCTCCTTCATGTAGCTGAGCTCTTGTTGAATGTTTCTANCGGTGAGAGGAAAAAATGCAACACCCCAGGAGTGAACGGGGACTCGATTTGTTGCACCAAAGCGTCCATGGTTACTGGAGTTTTATCCCTCATAGCCTCCTTCATATAGCTGAGCTCTTGTTGAATGTCTCTAGAGCACTACTCCCAGTATTGGTCTTTTCGCTCTTGCTGGACTGGCCGAAAGTTATTCTTCTCATTCTTATTACTTCGGCTCTGCGCCTTTTCATTGTTTCCATTCCTCAGAGGAGGTTGGGGAGCCTGGCTATTCTCTTCTCCTTCATCAGCTTCCTTGAATGGGTCGAGATGTTGTTGTTCCCCATGAGGGGGATCATTCTGACCTCCTTGGGTTGGTTATTTCTCTTGTGGTCACTATAAAAGCTTCAGGAGTTCCTCATTCTACTTTAGTAGACGTTAATTGACCAGACGAAGGGCCTCCAACTCATTGTTCGTGGGGGGATCCACCATAGGAGGATTGACATCGGCGGTGTGGAAGAAATCTTGTGGATCTTCGTATTGTCTGCTGGTATTCTCCTGCTGGTTTTGCACCCGCGGGGGATTCACTTGGCTTCTGCTCATATTGCGGGTTGAGACCATCAGTTACTGAAGAATCAACGTACTTGTAATGAGAACAATCATTCTTATAGACGGCGCCAAACTTATGGTGTAAATTAGTGTGGTTAAGCAGAAGGTATGAGTTATGCTTGGCTGCTTGAGTCTGAGCTTCAAGGCTCGTGGGGATCGTGTTAAAGAATTTAGGGAATTAAGGTAATTTACAGAGAAAGTATAGTGGTTCGCCGGCTCGAGAGCTCGGCTAGTCCACTCTTGAATGGAAGCTCCTGCTCCTTTTTTCTTAATAATGGGGGAAGGAAGTTACAATGTACTTTTTAAGCATTTGGGGTTTCTTGCCTATCTTGGAGGCATTGTACAATATTTATAATGCAATTTCAATTCCTAAGGAGTCTCAGGCATGATCTTAGCAGAATCTCCCTTGATTTTGGGAGAAGATCTCGGTTAGTTGAGAGTTTTATTCTTTCTAGGTATCATCGCATATAATATGACGTTCTCAATGCGTTCGTACTCTCAAATATTTTTTAATTTTATTGCTTTTGCACTTTCCCTCTCACTCCCACCTTTGCTCTTGCTCTTTGTGATGTAGCTCATAGGTTAGCCACTTCTAGGATTTGACCTTGCCAATCGATCATCACGTGATGCATACACATTTTGGGCATATGTAGTCATAACGTAATCCATACACCTTAGACTGGTATGGTCCAATCTTCAAAATGGACATAAAAAATAGGTAGAAGAGATCATCTTAATTATGATATCATAAATTGACTTATTTTTATGTTCGACGCTTTAACATGACATTAGAATTGAGTTTCAAAAGATCTTTAAGCAAGATTCATTATTTTGATTTCAAAATCTATAATAAAAATATTAAAATCTAGAAGTTGATGGTTGTTTGGCGCTCGATTGAGGCATTGGGAAGAAAATTCAATTCCAGAAGCCAACACTCAACAGGCACTAGAGTGCAAATAAGACTAGAATAAGATATCATGTGGTCCCTATTTTCAATTCTATTTTTTGTCAGTCACCTTGACTTTCAGTTTTTAGTCTATCATAATTTTGCAGTCACAGCAACAAATATCGGTCATAACCAAAAGTAATCCGTCCGGAGACATCCAAGAAANTGCAGTCACAGCAACAAATATCGGTCATAACCAAAAGTAATCCGTCCGGAGACATCCAAGAAAATTGGAACGATACATAAAAAATTAGTGTAAGAATGACAAGCACAAATTGCGAAACCCAAAAATAATCTCATGCTTCAGCATCAAGGTCTCTCAAAACTTCCCAAAGGAAGGGAGAGCTATACAGTCTCAGGATTACACAGAATTCTGGACCAACTTTGACAAACAACATACCAGAAACAAACTTTGACACAAAAAATTTCCACACTTCTACATGATCTTGATCTCATTTTTCCGGGAAGTGACCTTGATCACATTTAAAATAGCTTGCAGCAACCAATCTCACCACCTGGAAGAACTTTTCTTAATCCAGACCACCTTAAAGATCCCAAAACCAGTCATTGCAGCTTCAACTACAAACATTGTGATTGACATGCGAAGGCCATTGGTTATCTGAGCATACAACTGTTTGCCTCCTTAGGCTCAATAGGAGGGTTTTGAATTCTCAGATAATTTGCTCAGAGCCCTGTGATGTCTTGGTTCATGATTCCATGCGAATAGATTCCAGAAAACTGCAAGTACAAGATTAATTTTTCAGAGCTTAACAGTTCCATATTTGACCAGATGCAAGGACCAAAGCATCAAGAATTCAAAATCCAGGTATCTCTCCTTCCTCCAACTCCTCCTCCACGGGGAGGACTCCGCTGAAATTTGCATGATCCATTCTCTCCACCTGTTCTACATCCCTTGTAAATACACCTTCCAGATCAAGAAAGTCATCAGGATTAATTTGTGCAACGATATCTGAATAAGCATCTATCAACCCTTGCTCAAAATCAAAATCCATATCCTCAAGCACACCCACTTCCTTGATCATGGCGCTGGAGTATGCAGGATCATCAACAGCTTTTTGAATCGAGACACCATTTCCCAAGATTGGTTTGGTACCTTCAGCAACTCTTGCCAACAGTGGCCTGTTTAGTGAGTCATTTGNGGAGGATCATCAACAGCTTTTTGAATCGAGACACCATTTCCCAAGACTGGTTTGGTACCTTCAGCAACTCTTGCCAACAGTGGCCTGTTTAGTGAGTCATTTGAATTTTTTGCAGTTCCCCTCTTTTGATGGGGAGTCTGGAACACTGCATCCGGATGAATATGCTTCATGAGATCAAAAACCTTAGGGTCTGAAGAGACTCCTTCTTCTATTTCCTCCTCCTTGAAGGTCACACCTTTAGGCCTTGGACAATTATTTGTAACAGACTCCTTGAGCTCTGGTTTTTGAGGAATGGCAACTTTAACAACTTCAAAATCATAGCTGTGTGAAGGTAAGAAAACATGAATAACAGGGTACTCCAGAATAACTAAATTGGCTAACTGTTCGCGTATTGGGGCCTTTATGTCCAACTCGAGGAATGGTGATCTAGGACCCTGTCATAATGCAAAGCACGTAGATTTTTAGTCAGTTAGGAGATTGAGTAGCAAATGAAGTAGAGCATAATGCAAGCTCTCAGCAGTCAGCTCTTCACTGTGTCACATTAGAGGCAACTGGAATCAAAATCTCTAATGAATCATATGATGCACTATAAACACATTTATTTAAGTTCCGGTTTTTACTATTTTTGAGGTTAGGGTTTTTCTCCTTTTTCAGGGGATGTGTGATTTTTCCTTTTGCACAGGTGGAGGATAGGGCCTAAATTGGCAACTTTAATTAACAAAAAAGGACCTCAAGAACTATTCCTAAAAGTTGTGAGATGAAACCCAGTGAAATTTAATGACTGCAATGCAAACACAATTCAGTTCAGGTTGAGCAGCCTGATATATCCTAGCCCAATTAAAAAGCAGTCATCCTGAGAATGGTCCATCAAAATTTTACTGAAGCACACAAACCAGTTCTGCACTCTTTCTGTAGGAGATGGAAGAGGAGGGTCCATTTAATGGTAGATCCTGCACCCATGAGGGTGGCATTCAAGATGGTCTCACATTTGTGAATTTGTTCTCCCATTATAATCAAAAGCTCAGTCCAAAATAGAGATCAAACAACCCTTAAACAGAATGTGAAAGAAAAACCTTTGGATATTTACGGATGAAAAATCTGAGAGAATCCAGCGGCTCCTCACAGAATTGCCTCAACCCATGATTCCATGGGCCTGGTTTTAGATGCTTCTCAATCAGTGAGCATAGGTTTGTGTTTTCATGTACTCTGCAACAACAAACATTGCATGAGGACTATGAGCATCCGCGCAGCCTCTATCAATGAGTGAAACACTAATCGCTGAAAGAGGAAGTAAAAGGTCACGACATAACCCTTGGGATTTAAATTGGTTAAATAACTAACCCATGGTCAATCAATGCAATATCTGTCGAATGGAACCGCCACTCTATTGTCCATGAGATAAATTTCTTCCTAGAACACAATGCAAGAGAATTGACAATTCATTAATAACAATTTTCCCTTTTGATGCCAATGCAGAAAGGATAACAAAATAAAGTACTTGCCCAGAATCTAAAAAAACAGAAAACAATGGATTAAAGTTTATAATAATAGAAAAAATAACGTAAACTTGGAAAAACACAAATTGTGAACCTATGTCATCAACAACCTTGACCAAACAAATAGAATTCATCAACAACCGCTAAGACCAGTTTTACAAAACAAATATTGGATCCCTTTTGTGGAACCTATGAAGGATAAACGCCCCCACGCGTAGATTTTATTAGCTATTGGACATGCAAGTCGGAAGTTTCACAAAGAACTACCATAAATGGGTGCCTGCTATAAGAATTAAAGCTTTGTTAAGTGAATTGATCTGCAAATAAGAATAATGGCATAGCAACTACCTCCAAAGATTGCACTTGTACCCTTACTCGGAAGAAATATCGGTGTATAATATCCGGCTAATAGAGAAGTCTTTCTAGAAGTTAAGCAAGGGATATTTATGCCTTTGCAGTTTTGGAAAATTAATACTTTGGAAACTAGAACATCGACGCAAGTATGATTCTATATGCTCGTTGGCTGGCTTCTAATGATAGATGAGTAAGATTGTGAGTAGGTTTTTTATGTTTGCTAAAGCCTAAAGTTCCCTTCCACCACCACCACCCTCACCAGCCCCTGTTCCTGGTATGAAAGGGCATAATGTGAACTCAAAGGTAAACACTGATTTGGAAAATAACACAAAAAACCCCTGGAATCTTGACTTTAAATGATAATGAACTACACCAAGGTGCCACCAGTTCTACGGATCTTAGTAACACCGAAAAAATGGATGAGATGAGAAAAATAGCACCTAACATCCTCCAATGCAGCTCTGCACAAACTACTAAGAACTAACTAAATTCAAATTCTCTTAAAAACACCAGAAATATTATGCAGAAAAACTGTTCAAAGACAATCAACTATATATTGCTAACGTTTGTTAAAGTTCAGACCCATTTATGATCCTGTCACTCTTCCTTGACCAAACCCANCTTAAAAACACCAGAAATATTATGCAGAAAAACTGTTCAAAGACGATCAACTATATATTGCTAATGTTTGTTAAAGTTCAGACCCATTTATGATCCTGTCACTCTTCCTTGACCAAACCCACTCTATTTATAGCAGATAGAACGTTCTCAGAACCACAGAAAGTTAGGTCCCAAGGATGAGCCTTAGTTGTTATGGTATAGATAGCACACATAGTATAACAATCCTCAAATTGAGACATCAACTCCTATGACAAGCAACATTGTTATGGTATGACAAGCAATATTTGAAGATCAGTTTTTTAGAATTACTTGTACTCAGGAAATGAAATAAGCAACATGAAGTGCCAACAANCATCAACTCCTATGACAAGCAACATTGTTATGGTATGACAAGCAATATTTGAAGATCAATTTTTTAGAATTACTTGTACTCAGGAAATGAAATAAGCAACATGAAGTGCCAACAAGATCAAAGAGTGCCAAAGTCACTGGTAAACCAATCACTGATGGTGTATGGGCAGCTCCAGAACTTGAATACAACATCAAAATTTATATTTGCAATATCATCAGTAGACCGGCGTGAAATAAACTATCAACTTATTTTATCAACAGTGGCAGGTTATCATGAATTCAGTAACCTGTTGTCGTAACAAGTTCGATTAGCCCCCCTCTTGGACATTCCACTTGAAAGAAACAGGAGCTTCGTCCTCCGGCTTGCAGCAGCCTTCCGAAGGCTTTTAAGAGGAAAAGGAAGCCTAAAATGAGAATACCCACACACNCTCCCCTCTTGGACATTCCACTTGAAAGAAACAGGAGCTTCGTCCTCCGGCTTGCAGCGGCCTTCCGAAGGCTTTTAAGAGGAAAAGGAAGCCTAAAATGAGAATACCCACACACCTTAACCCTCATCCTCTGGGCAGATTCAGCAATCCTCTTCACATCCTCCAGCATATTATAATCTACACATGAAAAGTAGTTCTCCATGATGATATTAGAACTTGATCATCACACTAACTTCCAAACAATTCACTCATGTGAATTCTTTTAAACAGCACAAAAGGTATCAATTTAAAACAACCAGCAAACTTTCTTTAGCAAATAAATTTGCCTTAAAATAAAAAATGCTGACCAATTAAATGGAAAATTCCTCAATTGAAGAAAGAATCATTAAAACTAAAAAACTTGCCAAAGGGACAACCCTCCTCAATCAATTTACTTCTGGCTACAACTATGATTTGGAGACATTGTAGATATTTATTTCTAAGAAGATTCGTATCATTTATAAAAGGCCTTCCTAACTTCAAACAGATTATAAATTTTTGTTGAAGAAATACCTAATCTGTTCAAGCTATCTGCATCTGGCCACAAATATGCATTCAATTTAACTAATAGGCGCACNAGCAAAGAACAACATATTGAAGAAAGAATCATTAAAACTAAAAAACTTGCCAAAGGGACAACCCTCCTCAATCAATTTACTTCTGGCTACAACTATGATTTGGAGACATTGTAGATATTTATTTCTAAGAAGATTCGTATCATTTATAAAAGGCCTTCCTAACTTCAAACAGATTATAAATTTTTGTTGAAGAAATACCTAATCTGTTCAAGCTATCTGCATCTGGCCACAAATATGCATTCAATTTAACTAATAGGCGCACTATAACAATAAAACTAAATGAGAAACTTTCATGGATAACAATGGGAAAACGTGAAAATGAGTGATGATCTCAAAAGGATAGACATCAACCTCCCTCGACAATCCATAAAGAATTTCCGATTAGCCAAAAGAAATAGTGAATTTTGAAGCCAAAATTGCTGGACAGGAGGTTATCATCAAATTAAGAGAAAAGAACTGCGCAATACATAAACTGTTGATAGAATATCAAGCAAACTATGATATGCTCGTAAGTAAACATCAAATACATGAATTTATAACAAATTCCCCATGAAGAAGAGAAAAATTCCTCAACATCCCAAAAGAAACATTGAAATTAGTAAAAAGGGTGTTGAAATTTGAATTCAAATTACCCGAAAGGAGGAGATTATCATCGAATTGAGAAATAGGAACGAACTTGGTCGGCTTTCTTTTACCCGTACAGCCAGTGCGTTGTTTGTGAGCTTTGACGCAAGGGAGGCTACACGAGCGTATGGAACAGCCTGGGCATTTATACTTTGAAGGGATTGATTTACACTCTTCGCATAGAGCTTGTTGTTCGGGATTTGGGTTTGTTCGAGTTGGTTCTTTTCGTTCCTCCATTGTAGTAGAGATTCAGAGAGATGAAGGCAAAGTCTAAATAGGGTGGTGAAAAAGGTTTAGGGTTTTATCAGTCAGAACAGACGACTAGAGTTTAAGTAGGAAACTGTTGCGAAAACGGCGTCGTCTCAAGTGTTCCTTAATTTTCTATATATAAAATAAACAAATTAGAACTCCATACTTCCTAATTTTCTAAAGTTTTGATTTTTCTTTAATTATTATAATAAGCTTTCCTCTAAACACATTATATGCATTTTATAACCAGCCCTCAACTTCCCATTAACTGCTCATTGTTCTTTCAAATTTATTTGCATAAAATTATTTTTACTATTCAATAATTTTATTTTATTTACCTTCTTTAAATGATAAGGTGAAAGAGAAAAAATAAATTAAAAAAATGATAGAATCTATCCATCTTATCCCTATATTTTTCTCGCCTATTTCTATTTTATCACTTTTTTTTATCACAAGTTGAATTATTTAATTTTCTATTAATTTTTGGTTTCATACAATTTTTATTTCAGGCTTTGTTCAAATATGATAGTATACACATATTGATATATATTTTTTGAGATAATGTATTTTAAGAAGTTTCAATAAAATTTTTATTTTAAACATTGTTCATATATGATAGTGTACACATGTTTCATATATATATAAAATAATTATTAGTTCAATACAATTTTTATTTCAAATATTGTTCACATACGATAGTGGATACATGTTGATACATATTTTTTGAGCTCATGTATTTTGAGAAAATTGTCAATTTTTTTATAAAAGTAAATAATTGATAAAATCTAAATTCAAATTATATAATTAAAAAGGGAATGAAAGAAACATTGTTATTGGACATAGTGATATTGCTTTTTTAGATACCTAAATTTTATATTGGATAGTATATTTAGATACAAGTCATGATTTTGAGAGACCTTCTTCCCAATTCTCCCAGTTCTTAGATTTGAGTTATTTTAATACATTCAATCCAATTACATTTCACCTTGTAACATAAACCACTCCTCCACCGACTAATAACTCCTCATTTAAATATTTTTTAAAATTTAATTTCTATCACCCTAAGTTTTTATAATTCTTTTGTCTAACTTCTTTATTTCTTAAGTGGTGGGGTGGGAGCGAAGAAAAAATAGTGAAAGAAATAATGAAAAAAAGATGAGATATAAATCCATGCATCACACGGAGTCGTCACTAGTTAGTATGTATGTACAAAAGATATTGTTCTCAACTAGATTGATGCCAGGAGCCAAGGCTAAAAAAATTTGTCCCAATATTGAAAATTTTGAAAAATAGTTACCATAAACAAATCTATAAGCAAAATTGTTTTGCATTTTGTTTTTATTTTTTATTTTATGGAGTAATTTCTTTCATTTTGAATTAGGCTCATAATATGATTCAAGTTAAACATAGGATGATTGAGTCCACTTAAGCCGAAGGTCAAAAACATCAAAATTAGGAGAATTTATCTCATTTCTCGGTTAATCTTTAATGGGAGGGGTTAATTAAAACAAAAGCAATATTACTTGGACTTAATAGATAAACTTAAAAAATAGACTTGATAATTACAATTATTGTCAAATTTTTTTCTCTGTTCAATCCATTTTCATCCCCTGCATCGTTTCATTTGTTGATTAAACACAAAAGGGGAAAACAAAAAAAGAAGAAGAGGAACTAGGCAAATAAAAATAGTTTCGACAATTTGTTCTATCTGTAGTGTTTTGTGTTTGTTTTAATAACTTGCTATGGTTAATATATTTTAATGACTTACTTGAAAAAAAGTAATATATTCCAATGATTCATAGCATCAAGACCACAAAATACTTGTTAAGACCATGTTAGATGACAAATGGCCCCAAAATGTAACTTAGGTTAGCTGTTGAAAGTAAAAAATTGCACCTTATCGGTGAAAAAGATGCAAGTTTGTGAACAATTGAGCTATTTTGATATGGTATGTCGCTATGTTTTGTGCTTAAAAGGACAAAAAATGAAGAAACTGTTGTCATTGTGTTCTATTTGTTGGAGTTCCTACTTATCCTTGATGTATATTGTTTTGACTACCCTACTAATTTGGGACTCATCGATTCAGCAACATTGCTACAAAACACACATTTGAGATAACTTTGAATTTATCAAGCCTAGGATTACTTGAAAGCTAGCTGGTACATTGTGGTTCATGAGACTGTTTAAATCCTGTATCACCGGAAAGGCTGCAAACTATTTGTATTTCCACTATGGTTTAAATCAATTAGCTTATTGATGGAAAATATTTTATGCCTAGGAGTTTTCCTCATAAATTAACCTTACTAATTACATTGGTATCCACTTGAAAACTTAGACAAAACTCTGTTTTAGTTTGTGTTGAAAACAAATCAACCTTGTCCTTATCCACTAATTTTGTATTAAGATATCGTCGTGTTAACCTGCATGGTGTCAAAAATTATCATTCATCGTGGTCATCTATTCTTGGAATAAAAAGTAAATACATATGAATTTTTTTTAATATATCAGCATATATGAATTTTTTTTTTTCATTTTTACCCTCTAAACACTATAACTATGCTATACTTATCCTCTTATTTTTTTCTTAGTTAATATCGATGTTAAAATTATTTTAATTTCTCACAGTTAATAGACTCTTGGTAGATGACTGTTGGGCAGCTCTCGCATCTTCAATAGACAGAGTACAAAGAAGCCTGAAGCCAGCAAAAATAGGATGTCTTAGAGCCCAATTCCAAATTCGACAACTCTCGGCAATGGTATGCACGGTGTCTTATATACAAACCTTTCTTCTCTCTGTATATAGATTTATATGCATAATAATGTATTAGTTAGATAGAAATAATTGTATAATTATGTTGTTTTGTTGATGTTTATCTAACACTTCAATAATGAAGATTGGGTCTTTTTTATATTAGATGCTGGTGGGACATTTTCAGATACTCCAAGATGACGACACGTGTTCTTGGCGTCAATGGATACTCGTCGATCAGATCACGACACGTGCGCATCGGTCCATAATCCCCCTTCCCCCGAGGACACTATTCANGGTGGGACATTTTCAGATACTCCAAGATGACGACACGTGTTCTTGGCGTCAATGGATACTCGCCGATCAGATCACGACACGTGCGCATCGGTCCATAATCCCCCTTCCCCCGAGGACACTATTCACAGGGATNGGGGCAATCAATTAATATTTCATACCAAGTGACCAAGAAAGAATGAAGTGACGATTTAAAGGACAAATGAATAACTTAAGAAGCAAGAGAACATCCCTTAGCCCTTTATAATTTCATACCCCCCAATGTGGCTACCTTATCCACCTCGATCTATACTTCTAATTTGGAACTTACCCTGTTAGGGACGTGTGAACTCAGGTAAAGCCATCAGAAGATCTTTTCAAACTTGTGCTCAATCAGGTCATCAATAATAAGCATAAAGTTAGGGGCTGCACACCCAATGCAGTTATCAGCTTATTCTGATGAAGCTTTAGTAAGACAATGCACTTTTAAACCAGTATTTTGGGCACAGAAGTTCCGGACATCTGCAGATGTTCTCAAATCTTATTAGCCCTTAAATTCAAACAATCTCAACCGAAAAAACTTCAACACTCATGCGTAATTTGTTATATACAACACCTTATCTTAATCAGGAACTAACCACATCATAATTTTCCATAAGATATGGCCACAACAAGCTGACAATTCATATACAGATGATAAAATAGAAGAGTATTCTACTAGTTCTATTGGAAACTTACTGGGCACACTCGGCGAGTTTTCCAAGGTTTTGGTTTTCCAGAATCGCCATAATCAACTGTTTATTCTCATCCAAGTACTGCATCGAGCAAAAGAAACCAAAACATTGAGAAATCACAACACTTTCTACTATTCAATCTCAGAGGATAATCATATCCATTAGCAATGAAGATTAAAATTATTGCTGTACCCATCACATCACAACCCAGTTCTAGTCAGAAGTCACCGATTAATACCTAAATGTGAACAAAACTGGAGGCACAAGTACAAACAAATACAAACACGTAGATACAGAGATACACACATATCTGTATATAAGGCAAACCTTTTGAATCTGCTCGGTGGTGATGGAGTTTGAAGGAAATGGAGGTGCAGAGTTCAAGGTGGGAGGTTGTGGTTGTTGCATTGTTAGGTCCGAGTTTCAGTTCTAGGTTTGGGGAGAAACCCTAATTAAACTTAAACCTTAGGATTTTAATGGATGGATAGAGAAAAGTTAATGAGATAGGAAATGAAACGAGAGGATTACTTGAGGGAGAAAGCTATGATTGAAAAGAAGGAACGAAAAAATTAAAAGATAGAAAAATGAAAGAGTAGATAAGGAATAGAGTGGATGAAAAATTAGATAGATTATTTTTTTTTTAATTTATTAAAATTTATTCTTTTAAAATTGGGTGAAATTTTTAATTATATGTGTTAAAAATATATATTATTTATCTTTATAATCTTTATTATATACATAAATTTATTATTATATATTATATATACATTAATTTTATATAAAAATATAATGATAAAATATATATTTTATATATTTATTCATCCTTCTATTTTTTCATCATACTAAATACAAAAAAAAATTAATTATTCTTATTTTTCACCTTTTTAACCAAAATACAAAACAGAAAAAAATATTAAACCCCTTAAATATAAAAAGTGTATAACTCTTATTTTTTTATTATTTTATTCTTCGATCTATCCTACCCAACTAGACATTATTAGAATTTAAGGCATATCAGGATAAATACGACATTGTTTTCGTTAAAAATTGTTGGTTTGAAGTTGATTTATGCTCGTAAATTTTTGTTAATTGATTAAAAAATTTAATAAATAATTTAAAATAACAAAATTAAAAAGCTGTCCACAACGAAAAGTGGAGTGGCTGACCCATTTTTTCTTTTATGCTCCATTCGATAGAAATGATAAAAAATATGAGAAATATTTTTTCTATCATTTTAAGAAAGAAAGTAAGAATGATACACTTTTTTTTTTTAACAGGATGGATGAAAAATTAAAATAAATTTTTTTTTGTACTCGGTAAAATGGTAAAAATATTATTTTTAATTTTAATTTTTTTTAAAAAAGTATAAATACATATTTTATTATTGTGTTTATATATGAAATTAATGGATATAATATATATCAAATGATGGATAGACAAATAAGATATATTTTAACACAAATAATTAATTTTTTATCCACTTTTCTTCTAATTTTGGAGGATTTGATTTTAGTGAGTTAGAAAGAAAATCCATCTATCCACTTTTTCATCATTCTTATTTTTCTTCTTACCAAACATTATGTTTTATTTATTTTTCTAACTTTTCATCATTTTATTTTTCCGTCATACCAAATGAAACATTATTGTCTTTTGTTGTCTGTAATAGTAGATTCGATTTTCATAATACAAGACAGTAATTTAATCAAAGTTTGAGACTAAATTTTCGCCCAAGTGATTTTGTACTCTTTATGGTATGTTTGGTAGAAAAGATAGAAAATAAGAATGATGAAAAAGTAAGAGGAATCGATTTGTCTTTCTCAAAGGAAAGAAATATATTTTTCCTCCTTTTTATTTGGTACGGCAGATAGAAAGTAAGAGAGATTTATTTTCTATTGTTTGATATTAAATAAAAAATGAAAAGAAAGGAAAAATATGTATGTAAAAATTACATCTCTACCCTTATTACCCTTCCAATATATGAGTAATATTATTGTGAGCTAATTTACGGACCTATGTGACCTAATTTATTGACCGTTCCAATTTGACTGTGGGGTCCATCAATTTTTGGAACTTGTTGTTGACTTAATAATTCCAATAAAATTATATTATTAGGTTCCAATGAAATTATATTATTAGGTCAATAAATTATATCAAATTTTTAAGTCTTAATAGTTTTACTCATAATATATTGAGCACCTAATGTTTCTTGCAATGAATAGTCTGACTCGTTCGACTAGGCTTTTTCGTGTTTTTTTTTTGTTTTTTTCCTTGTTGATAATAACCAACCTACTGGAATGAGAGTTATGGCATCTAAACAGTGGTATAACCATCTATGGATGGGACATTAATCACTTGATAATACATCAGACCAATAGTGATAAGTGAAAGTGGGTACTAAAGCAATGTCTTATCAAGGGCAAATATGTTAGATTAGACAAATTATTAGTTAGTCCGCAGCTTTTCTCCAACTTTTCGCCCACTTCTGTTGTGGGGGAGGGGAATTGGTGGGCAGGACATATAGCGTTTAACTCCAATTTTCTTCTTCCACCTCTTTTCCTTTCAAATCAAACAGTGAATTATTTTTTTTTTCATCCACTTTCCTTTCCCTTATTTTTATCCACCCTATTTTTCATCAAATCAAAGGGTTGGTCTTATGTTTATTCAACTATACCCTCTCTCCCTCTCTTAGTTTTTTTTAGAGAGAATTATACTCAAACTCTCTAAAATTTGTCACTTAATCACTTAAATCTCTTAACATTTAAAATATTATATACAAACCTCTTGAAGTTTATACTCGGATAACACTTAAATCCCTCCCGTCAATTTCTGTTAGTATATTCGTTAGTAAATTACACTCAAACCCGTTGACGTTTATAACCGTATAAGAGTTAGGCTCCTTAAGTTTAAAAATATTATATTTAGACTAAAAATATTCCAATCAAATATAGGATATTAAATATTTTAAATTTTACAACTAAAATTCATACTCTATTATGACATTTATTGAAATAAAATTTAAAATAAAAAATTTAATTTTTTTAGTATATAATTATATTATCTATTAGAATTTAATTTGGTCATTTGAACGACTAAATTAAACTATTAAATTATCTCAATTAAAGATAAAAGATATTGTATCTATTACAGTTTGATATTTTGCTTAATTTTATTTCAATAAATAATATAATTATATACTAATTGTGATTTTTTTTAAAAAAAATTACATTTATATCTTTTATTTTATTTCAATAAGTGATACAATAGAACATGAATTTTGATTATAGAATTTAAAATATTTGATATTCTATCCTTAATTAGAATTTTTATGATCTAAGTATAATATTTTAAACTTTAGAGATCTAAATATTGTACGCTTATAAATTTTAAGGAGTGTAAATATAATTTACTAACGAATATAATAATAAAAATTAATGAAAGAGGTTTAATTATTATGTAAGTATAAATCTCAGGGAATCTGTATATAATATTTTAAATATCAAAAAATTTGAATAGTTAAGTGTCAAATTTTCAAGAGTCTGAAAGTAATTCCCTCTCTTTTTTTTTTTTTTTTTTATTGTGGTGGTTGTTATCAATTGGTCTTCGGCTTTTCTTTTTGTGTGGCCGCAAGGGTGATAATGGTGATCAATTGGGATTTCTTTTGTTCTTTTGTTCTTTTGTGGTGAGTGATTATTAGCCAGGTAAAATTTGGTACCGTTACTTTAAAATTTATTATTTTAATAAATATTTTTATAATTTTTATAGGTCATTTTAAAGAATTTATTATTTTTGTAAGTGTTTTTACTACTATTATTGATAATTTTACCATTTTTTAGGTACAAAAAAATTATCACTTTTGTAGATAATTTATTATATTTATAGGTATTTTCATCACTGATGTTGATGTTTTTACCACTTTTCTTTGATACCACAACAGTGACAGAATATTTACATCAGTAATAAAAACATTTACCAATATAATACATGTCGGTATGGTACCAAAATATATTTTGTTTCATTACCATATACATCTACCTAATTTGGTGCTGTAGTTTCAGGTTTTATAAATTTTGTAGGTTAAGAAAAAAAAAATTAAATTTGTTTATAATAAATATATATATATATATAATTTTTTAAGTTATATTATAGCTTTTATGGTTTACGTTACAATATTTTGGAGGTCATTTTTAACTTTTGAAATTAATTGAGATGGATCCTAGGAATTTTAAAGTTTAATTTTAAGGTAATTTTAAAAATTATAAATGACTCTAAAAATTTATAAATAACAGAACTTGTACGTAGGTACGATTTTTTCAGGTACCGAAGTAGGTTGATGCAAATTTTTTGTGTCTGTCCAACAGAAAAATGGAACTGCCCCCGAAAATTTAAATTAAATATATATAAATAATTATATATTTAAATTATAATTTTTTGAATTTCAATTAAATTGTGTAGCTGGAAAATTTTGCTAACCGGCAGGCAATAGAACAGTGGCTTTGGCGTTTCAGACGAGGCATCATCAACTCTGATTGGGTTTGGATTTGAAGCTGCAGCGTACTGAATCATTATTCTTTCCTAAGGTGATGATGGGTCCATCATCCTCATCCTCACCGTCATTATCACCTACTAAGACTACGGATGATCATGGAGGTGGTGATAGTAGTGGTCTCACCTCTACTAGGGGAGCTAACGAGGTGGTAGGCAATCTATCCCGTGATGATCTCGCTGGTGCAGTTGGTGTAAGGACGACTTTTGCAGCCTTTTGATATTTCTACAGCTAAAAACGACTTCAGATTCCAAGGTAATTCAAGCTAAGGAAAACTGATTAATGTGGATTTGGGGAAAAGACAAGGACAGATTAGAGAATAACTATGAGACAGAGAATGAAAGGTCAAGGGTTTTCTGGAGTTGTGATTTTTGTGGATTTGTGTTTTGCAGGAGGAATGGCGGCAACTTTGGGATTTCCTTTCACACCTGCTCAGTGCAAGGAGCTGGAGAGACAAGCTCTGATATATAAGTACATGCTGGCCTCTGTACCAGTGCCTCTTGATCTCCTCTTACCCCGTTCCACAAATCTTCCTCCAGACCTTACTCCATACCACTCTCCCTGTAATGAGCCCTGGTTTCTTCTTCTCCAACACTCCCTTATAATGACTTCTTTGGTTTTTCAATATGGGTTTTGCTTTTTCCGGTCTTTGTAGAAGTGGGTTTGTATTGTTCTTAAAAGTTTCTCTCTCTCTCTCTCTTGCTTGTGGGCGGTGGGTGGTGGTTTTGTATTCAATCTGCGTGGAGATCCAGAGCCAGGACGGTGCAAAAGAACTGATGGAAAGAAATGGAGGTGCGCAAGAGATGTGGCGTCCAATGAAAAGTGATGGAATATTTCCAGATACTCTAAGATGATGACACGTATTTTCGGCGTCAATAGATACTCGCCGATCAGATCACAACACATGCGCGTCGGTCCATAATCCCCCTTTTTCCAAGGATACTATTTACAGGGATCAAGAATCTCCAGTATCCCATCGATCGACACGTATTTCTCGGTCAGTTTTAGGTACATCGGCCCCTAGCGACGCTGGACCCTCGACACCGAAGTATATTCGTCTACAAAGCATATCTGCTCTTGCAGGGCTATTGATGAACAGATCATTAGCCTAGACTATATTAGACTAGTCATCATGCTTTCGTCTTACTCAAATGGTGTCAGAAGGCGCAAGAAAACAGAAGGCTCAACCAAGGGGGAATGGGCACGTGGCGTATTGTGTTAGATCAGAGACANGCTTTCGTCTTACTCAAATGGTGTCAGAAGGCGCAAGAAAACAGAAGGCTCAACCAAGGGGGAATGGGCACGTGGCGTATTGTGTTAGATCAGAGACAACAAGACTAGAATGTCCTTGCTGACACACGACTTGGGAAAACAAGTATTTAATGCACAATTTCCTTGATGGGACAACATTTAATGCATGAGAGCTTGAAAGTAAAAGATAATAAATATCTCAAAGCCTGGACATTTAATACACCCTCATCGAAGGAAGGTCATTAAACGTTCGGCAGACCGAGGAGAAAACATTAGTTGCTCGGGATCCCGAGCAGTTAAGAATAAGAACATTACTCATAGAAATCGGTGTGTGCACACTGCCCACCTCCAATGATTACCTACTAGCTACGCTGTCAGCAATGATGAGTTTTTAAGGTATAAATAGTCCTCACAAACACAGAAAAGAGGTATGCAACAAACCATTTCTCAACCATCATACAAATGTTTTCTTCTTTCTCTCTCTCAAAGAACTGACTTGATCGTCGGAGGGGATACGCCGAAAAACACTCCGGCGCCCTTCTAACCTATTTTTCTCTGTTCCAGGAGCCTCCCTTAGCCTCCTATAATCATTCAGGCGACTCATAAAAACGATTCATTATCCCTCCTTAGGCCACCTTCGGCCCTCACAACCGGTCCCAAGTAGTGAGATTGGCTACTCGATCGATGGACACGTGTTCATCACCGAAGAGATCTGTTCTTGTGTTTGTATTGTGCAAGATCGTGCACGCACAATCTGGCGTCATCTGTGGGAAACGACTAGTTTTCCTAGTTCCATTTCTAGAAAGAACAGTGACCATGGTGAATACTCGATAGAAAGGGAAAGGTCCCCAGCAAAGAAGTCTCGAGTTACAAGCTCCTCATCATGACGGGGGGAGAGGTCACGCTGGTGACAACAGGAACGTTTCTGTTCAGTCAAGGGGGCATACTCCTCTAACCAGTATGGGTATTGGGTCATGAGGATCTACCCCCTTGGCTCGTCAACTGGCGAAAGTGATCGAAGAAAAATTTGGGGATCGACTACGGCAGTTAGAAAAAGATAATGTGAATGTCCTAAGTCGGCTCAACGAATTTGCAGCCCCCGACGATAGATCAATAGACTCATTCCGTTCCCGCGGACGCTTCGTCCGAAAAGCAGAAGTCGAGGACTTGAGAAATCACTTAAACAACAAAGCTGAGAGTTCTAGGGTCCCAAAGCGCCCAAGGGCCAATGAGCACCCCCTCGATAGTCATTTTAGGAAGGCGAGACCTTTGACTTGGGACGACCTCTGGCAAAGCCTGTCAAGGCGCGGGAAGGGGGACGAGTCCAAGGAGGATTCAACCATTTTCACACGACGCTCGGAGAAAGGAAACCCTGTCAACGACTTTAGAAACCTCAGAGGACATCCCCCTGAGGGTGGAAACTGACCTTAGAGCTTGGCTGGAATCCAAAAGAAGGGGCAAGGCCGTCCAGGACGACGCAGAAGACGAGACAATGCAATCCCCTTTTACTAGGGATATCCGAGAGATGGAGATACCAAAGAAGTTCGTCATGCCAAGGTTCAAAACTTATGATGGGAGATCTGATCTCGAAGCTCACCTCAAACAATACAAGCAAATGATGTCCCTCTATCACTCGGACCAACGGCTTCTCTGCCGAGTGTTCTCCATGAGTTTAGGAGATTCCGCTATGAAGTGGTTCAAGACTCTTCCTCCTGACGGCATTGGGTCATAGAAGGAGTTGACAAGGAAGTTTTTAGCTTGATTCATTACGGGGAGTAAGCGGCCCAAAGATATTGGATCATTACTGACCCTCAAGCGGAGGGAACCGAAAACCCTTCGCCAGTACGTCATCCGGTACTGGAAGGAGGTCAATGAGATAGAGGGGTGTTCGAAAGTCATGGCGGCCACATCCTTTAGGCTTGACCTGGCAAGGGACGCAGACCTCTATCAATCCATGACTAAGAAGACTCCCTTAGATATAGGTGAATTGATTGTCTGGATAAACAAATACTCCAGGATCGAAGATGAGATAGGGGGCGGCAAAGGCAAAACTCTCGCGCCTATGAGGAAAGAGAGGGAGCGGGAGGACATCTCCCGAAAGGGGCTGGTACCCCCTCCAGGAGGGGCATTTAAGGGTGTTCAAGGAACCCATCTACAAGTTGCTCTATAAAATCAAGCGTGAGTCATTCTTCAAGTGGCCGCCTAGGATGCAAAGTGATCATTCCACTCGTGATCAGAACGTGAAGTGCTCATATCACCGGGATTTCGGCCATAGCACCGAAGATTACAGAGTGTACAAATCTTTCTTAGAAAGGCTGGTCCAGGACTGTTACTTGAAAGAGTACATCGAACCCAAGTCANTGCCACTGCCGGGTATCAGCGCATGGGCTTCCTAGATGCCAGGGCAGGATATCATCAAATCCCTCTCTATCCCCAAGATCAAGAAAAAATGGCATTCATCACTCCGAGGAGAGTTTACTGCTACAAAGTCATGCCATTTGGGCTGAAGAACGCCGGAGCTACGTACCAGAGACTGATGAATCGGATGTTCAAAAGACAGACCGGCAACACCATGGAAGTCTATATTGACGACATGTTGGTTAAAAAGTAGGAGGAGTTGTGACCACCTGGTGAATTTGGCCGATACCTTCTCCACCCTCAAGGAGTATGGGCTGAAGCTAAACACTGCGAAGTGTGTTTTTGGAGTAGAGTTCAGCAAATTCCTCGGATATCTGGTAAGTCGGCGAGGAGTCGAAGCTAATCCGGATCAGATTCAGGCGATCCTGGACATCCGAGTCCTCGAACGGTCTAAGAAGTCCAAAAGCTCACGAGAAATGTAAACCCTTCTTTGGGGCCATCAAGAGGGCCGAGAAGGATACGTGGAGCCCGGAGTGTGAAGACGCCCTGACGGGAATCAAGGAATACCTTAAGGTTCTCCCGACCCTATCCATCTCTATTCAAGAGAAAATGCTCTTCTTATACTTATCCATATCAGAATTTGTCGTCAGTGGGGTACTCGTTCGTGACTATGAGCGCCACTAGAAACCAATTTATTACGTGAGCAAAGAATTACTAGACGTAGAAACAAGATATCTACCCTTGGAAAAACTCACTCTGTCCTTGGTCACAGTTGTAAGAAAATTAAGGTATTATTTTCAGGCACACCCAATTACTGTCCTTACCGATCAGCCCTTAAAGGCCATTTTGAGAAAGGCAGATCTCTCTGGAAGGATTTCCAAGTGGGCAGTGGAGTTGGAAGAACATGACATCCACTTCAAACCTTGAACTACTATAAAGGGTCAGGTATTGACGGACTTCATAGCAGAATTTTTCCGGGGACCTCCTGTCCCGGAAGGGTCATCCTCTTCTGACATAACGTCCTCAAAGAATGATAAGGGACCGCAATGACTTTTATGTGTGGAAGGNGCGACCATGAGCGCCACTAGAAACCAATTTATTACGTGAGCAAAGCACTACTAGACGTAGAAACAAGATATCTACCCTTGGAAAAACTCGCTCTGTCCTTGGTCACAGTTGTAAGAAAATTAAGGTATTATTTTCAGGCACACCCAATTACTGTCCTTACCGATCAACCCTTAAAGGCCATTTTGAGAAAGACAGATCTCTCTAGAAGGATTTTCAAGTGGGCAGTGGAGTTGGAAGAACATGACATCTACTTCAAACCTTGAACTACTATAAAGGGTCAGGTATTGACGGACTTCATAGCAGAATTTTTCAGGGGACCTCCTGTCCCGGAAGGGTCATCCTCTTCTGACATAACGTCCTCAAAGAATGATAAGGGACCGCAATGACTTTTATGTGTGGAAGGTTCCTCTAACAGTAAAGGGTCCGAAAATTGGTATCTTTCTAGCTTCCCCGGATGGAGTGGTCACTGAGCAGGTCGTTCGGCTGGGGTTCAAAGCATCCAATAATGAAGTCGAGTATGAAGCTATCATCTCAGGGCTTCGGTTAGCCGAGGCGGCAAGGGTTACAGACCTGGTCGTTCACTATGATTCCATGTTGGTAGTCAACCAAGTTAACGGAGAGTTCGAGACAAGGGACCCGAGGATGAAGGCTTACCATTACGAGGCGACAACTGTGATCCAAAAGTTCAAAAAGATTGAGGTCAAGCAAGTATCCCGAGATAAGAATTTACATGCCGACGCCCTTGCTTGCCTAGTCTCGGCACTAAATTCATCTCTGTCGCACAGGATCACCATAGAGTACCTTCCCAATTTCGGTATAGACAAAGTTCCTGAGGTGATGGTCGTCTAGGAAGCACACAAGCAGCCTACCTGGATTGATCATTTTATCAGGTTCCTGGTAACAGGGGACCTCCTCGAGTGTGCGAGAGAAGCCAGGAAGATAATGCTCAAAGCCCTGAGATTTTGGGTCTCCCCCGAT